AAATTTCTTGTAAGTCATTACAATGACTGTCCCACCACATGACAGATTGGCCATGCCATTATATCACCTGACTAAGCAAATCCTGCGTTCGTTCCGTAAATTTCAGTGCGGATAGGTTTGGGTGCATTTCTTTCTTTGTCCGCGTAATTACCTGAAGCATGTTTTGCCTTCCCAACAAACAGCAGTGGTGTCTCCTTTCAGTTTTCTTGTAGCATCACCTTTCTTTACTTTTACTGAGTTTGTCCGAAGGTTACTGGCATGCATTTTCTTTTCTGAACTGTGCCAAATCTGTTTATTTTCCTATTATGCAGATGCAAAGAGAGTTAAGGTGATGAGAAATTATTATTTGTGCAAATTCCGTGTCTGATATCCACCACCTCTCTTGCTCGTTGGATCCACTGCTCCCCGAGTGTGCGCGACGTCTACATCTCCGTTCTCTCATCGTTTACCTAAATAAACGGTCACGTTATAGGTATATTCCTTGCTGTTACAATGCTTACGTAGTTTTGTTCCAAATCTTTTTCACTTTTTTGGGATGTACTGTTGGAACTGTAACTTGCCAAGTATTCTGTAGGATCGTATATTGTACACATTACATTAGTGAAGTGAGCTTCCACAACCAGTCATATTCTTGACTAATTATATGTGCCCGATTGTGACTGGTTCCGAAGTGAAGAAAACTTGGTATGCGTATAAACCACTTACATTTAACGACTTTTAAGTAAAATTGATTATAATATCTCATTAGTAATCCATGGTATCCTGATCAATGTGGCACATCGGAGTTATGGAAAAAATATTTCATCAATAATAATATTAATTGATTTTCAAGTTCTCTTGTCCTCGAATGTGTTGCTGGTGGTCGCGTTTTATCTCTGCCAGAACGATGAATGATCATTTATGGAAAACATTTATATGATGATGATCGTGGTTTGGGGTGTGACGACGTTCACTCCAGGATATGAATTGTCTTCATTTTTAATACTGTCTTCTGATAACTCACGTAGAATCCGGATCAGGGTTGCCTGACGTAAATTGTACATCGGAATCATACGAATCATTCAGCCCTTCAATGACGTTTGCACTGATATTACGCTAGCAGCCAAACCCAGGTCTTGTTGGAAGTTAATATTATGTTATCAGCTCGCAGCCATAGACGTACAGGGAATTATGCATCAAATGAGTTCAGATTGTGCGTTCCAGAATTGAGAACTTTGTAGTAAAATGTCATCCGCTTATGCACATTAATCTGAAGTCTCCGTCCTGGTTGAAGCTGCTAGTAGAATATGTAAATGATTAAGACAATGTGTGGAAAGCTACGCCTCTTGCGTGGCTCCGTCTTCACGTTAACTCCTTCGTTTTGTGACGGATTTACGCTGTTGAAATTGGTATATTTTCATTTTTATGTTCTAAATTGAGGGACTTTCAGGGTGATTTGTCAGACGTACGGTGTGATGCCGTTACTACGCGGTGTTCAGTTGTCGAGCGTCGTAGTACTGTCGACGTGTATGAATGGCTGCGGTTATAAATCAGACTAATTTTTACAAAACTTAGTAACGCACGGAACACGAGAAGTAGACATTTTTTAACAAGGTGATGCATTCTGGAATTTTGTACAAAGGATTCAGGTATTGTCATCTGTCGGTCCTTCGTTGTATACTGAACATTTTCATTGGAAACTGGGACCACATTTCATGTTTTATCGGTGATTGCCCCTTGTATTGTGCGCTGAGATTTGTTTATTTATATGTGTTTATGAATTTGCTACAGAAGAGACAGAATTGGATTGTATTAAACTCGATCGTAAATGCGATGGTGGGTGTGAATCGGATTTATCCGACTCGGGATTCGGGCCTGCGACTGGCTGTTGTGTACATGATAATGAACGTACCACTGGGTTCCAAAAAAAGCTGAAAATTGGTTTTTCTAGGTGAGCAGTGCAGAAAAGCCCTGCGTATATGCAAATTGTGATATCAGACGTTACAACTATTACTGCAAATGGGTTTATACCCGGTGGCAGTGGTGCCACAATACGACGCATGACTCCATCTGCTTTGAATTGATAATTTAATTAAAAGTGGACTAATCAGGTAGAAACCCATGAATTTTATGGTGCATTTTAGTGGTCAAAAGGATAAGTTTTTATTTCTTTTAATCCTACTTTCTTGACTAAT